CATGTAAACACTATGAAAATTTCACTTCCTGTAAAGCTAGTTTTTGGTGCGTAGACACAGATTCGAGACTGCCCAAATAGTAATCTCCAACACAAAGCTAAAATATTATCCTGAAAAAAATGAAACCCCACATTGTCCACTTTAACATGACAGGACCAATTTTAGCAAGGATTTTTTTTTTCATTTTTAATTAAAACCTTTATAATGGGGTAATCTAATGAGCAAAAAAATCACCCATGGCCACACCGAGAAACTGTGTACTGCTACCTCAACAAAATGTGTCAACAGATCTCCACCAAAGCACTTAAACATTACACCGAAGTGACCCCAACCGAAGCACTGAAACGTTTCAAAAGAGCGCCAACCGAAGCACTGAAACATTTCAACAGGGTGCCAACCCAAGCACTGAAACGTTTCAACAGAGTGCCAACCCAAGCACTGAAACGATTCAACAGAGTGCCAACCCAAGCACTGAAACGATTCAACAGAGTGCCAACCCAAGCACTGAAACATTTCAACAGTGCCAACCCAAGCACTGAAACATTTCAACAGTGCCAACCCAAGCACTGAAACGATTCAACAGAGTGCCAACCCAAGCACTGAAACTATTCAACAGAGTGCCAACCCAAGCACTGAAACGATTCAACAGAGTGCCAACCCAAACACTGAAACGATTCAACAGAGTGCCAACCCAAGCAATGAAACGATTCAACAGAGTGCCAACCCAAGCAATGAAACGATTCAACAGAGTGCCAACCCAAACACTGAAACGATTCAACAGAGTGCCAACCCAAGCAATGAAACGATTCAACAGAGTGCCAACCCAAGCACTGAAACGTTTCAACAGAGTGCCAACCCAAGCACTGAAACGTTTCAACAGAGTGCCAACCCAAACACTGAAACGATTCAACAGAGTGCCAACCCAAGCACTGAAACGATTCAACAGAGTGCCAACCCAAGCAATGAAACGATTCAACAGAGTGCCAACCCAAACACTGAAACGATTCAACAGAGTGCCAACCCAAGCACTGAAACGATTCAACAGAGTGCCAACCCAAACACTGAAACGATTCAACAGAGTGCCAACCCAAGCAATGAAACGATTCAACAGAGTGCCAACCCAAGCACTGAAACGATTCAACAGAGTGCCAACCCAAACACTGAAACGATTCAACATAGTGCCAACCCAAGCACTGAAACGATTCAACATAGTGCCAACCCAAGCACTAAAACGATTCAACAGAGTGCCAACCCAAGCACTGAAACGATTCAACAGAGTGCCAACAAAACATCAGTAAGTCAGCAAAAAAATCAAATAAAATCAGATGTTCCAGTTCATACTTACTTAATCTGAAAATTAAATTTTATTTAAAATGAAATAGACCCAAAGACGTGTCACATAGACAAATGAAGGGGTCTCCTCCGTACTCTTTTTGCAGTGTTCAGTCGATTCTAAATTTGTGTGGTGCGTACAAAGTATTTTTTCATAACTGACTGAGGAAATCAAGATGACTCGTGTTTTTACGAGGTCATTTAAGAAGACAATAAAATTGTTATTTAAACTCCTTCGCGTATTTACTAGGCCGTGTTATATTTTATATAAATCTTACTATCGATAATTTATTACTTTTTATGGTGCACGTCTAGTAAGAAAAACACCAAACAACAAGGACACATTATTTGTTATCTAATTTACGCTATTTTATTTCAGAATGGTTTTATCACTGAATGTTCAACTATTAATTTAAATTTGTGTAATTTTTATACTTGTTTTGTATATCAACAGAACTAATGAAGTTTAAGTTGGTTGTTTATGTTGTGTACTGATATACAGTGTATTCGTCTGAGTAGCTACATCAGTAATTAAAGTCAATTAATTCTACGTCCACACGAGATCATGTCAAAGTACTCCATTAATAGGTTAGTGGAACACACAAGCCGCTGCGGGTCATGATCAGCAGAAAATTCTGTTCTCACTACACGTAGTACTGTCATCAATTATATACACGTGTAAATTCACTGTCATATCAGTAACACTTCTATATTTAATAAACCTATTTCAAACACACGTCCACTTATACCAGTTATTAAATCTTTTTTATCCATGATAAAATATATATGTAAAGAATTCTGAATTTCTTATTTCATTATAGTTGTTGCATCAATTTTGCATGGGATAATTTTATCACGAAAAAAGTATATTTGAACGTAGGCCTAATGGCCAATTACCCAAGAATTAGGAAGTCAATTAAATGATGGTTACATATATATTTCCATATAACCGAACAGATGTCTCATTCCATTTCTTACCTCATAAACGAGGTAGATACTAGAGTATGTAGTTGAATGAGAGACGTACATTTAATCATTTATATAAAATAGTTAAATGCTACTCACGGAATTTCCGAGTTTTCTCAGCAGTGTCTGACTTTGAACACACGTTCCATTGTTTTTCTTCAATGATCGCCGCTTCAAATCTAGTCTTCCGTGTTTTCACCATTGTTTACATTAATTTAGCGGGAGATCTTAACACATCAAGCATGGCTCTGGTTGTGGACCGGACGGTAACTAAGCGCGCTTTCTGTGACGTCATAAATTGTGCCTACTTCCGGTCCGGTTGATCGAGTTTGCACCGCAATTATTTATAAACGACAAACATGATTAGAAACATTAAACAGGATCATTTCTACATCAATATATTTACATATTTAATTCATTAGCCGCGGAGGTTGACTGGTTTCATCGATTTTCTCGTTACAACCTATCTCATTACAAAATGGAGATGAAACGTGGTTGCCTGTACTGAAGCTGATTGAAAGATACCACCGTTTATCTAAGTCGGTCAGAGCTCAATAAACTTAATTGACGAGAAGCAAACGGGTTACCTGGATATGGGCTACCTGGATTGTAGCTTACCTAGATATGAGCTACAGGTATTGTTGGTTCCCTGGATCGTGGTTTACTTAAGTTACCTGGATCATGGGTTACATGGATTGTGAATTACTTGGATCGTGGGTTACCTGGGTTGCTAAATCACATATATTGCGGCGAATCCCTGAAGTGCTGTTTCCCACAAAAATGTATTTTGAATTTTTCGTTGATCTCGCAATTTTGCGCCTTACATGTATGGTGAAATATATTTCTCTTCCATGATTAGGGCAACGAGATCTGTAAGGCCGTTCAGTGTGATTAACTTGAGACTTGTCGGTCTATCGATATGTAATGGGAAATTTACTACGAAGCAAGGCAGTCCGTACTAATAATGAACATGCGATCTTTTTTAACTGAAAGTTTTATAAAAAGAATGTATAAGAAATACTGCCGATCACATATTTTTAAATATATTTTATTATGACTGCGAGTACAAACAAAAAGTGATTACCCGGAATTTAACTAGGTCTAGCCGTGCCTTGGTGAGGCTTTCCAATGGTCTCTATATAGATGGTACTCTTGCTTCCTCCCTATTAGTATCCGTAAAATATCTGGCTCCATGATATATGTTGGGCGTTCCTTCTGAATAGATCAGGTATTTATTGCCGAGTGTGTGTTAGTAGAGTTTTTATATTTAATATGTAAGTTATCTAATTTACCTTTAACGTACCTATCTGCTTACCTGTCTGTTTCACCTTTAATTTACCTATCAGTTTACCTGAACTTAATCGGTCTGCTTAACCAGTTATTTACCTGTCTCATTTAGCTGTTTCCTTTAATTTACCGGACTGTCTTACCTGTAATTTACCTGTTTGTTTTGCCTTTTTACCTATAAATTACCTGAGTGGATTACCTATAATTTACCTGTATGTCTTACCTGTAATATTCCTGTTTGTTTTGCCTTTTTTACCTATAAATTACCTGAGTGGCTTACCTGTAATTTACCTGTATGTCTTACCTGTAATTTACCTGTTTGTTTTGTCTTTTACCTATAAATTACCTGAGTGACTTACATATAATTTACCTGTATGTCTTACCTGTTTGTTTTGCCTTTTTTACCTATAAATTACCTGAGTGGCTTACCTATAATTTACCTGTATGTCTTACCTGTAATATACATGTTTGTTTTGCCTTTTTTACCCATAAATTACCTGAGTGGCTTACCTGTAATTTACCTGTATGTCTTACCTGTAATTTACCCGTTTGTTTTGTCTTTTTACCTATAAATTACCTGAGTGACTTACGTATAATTTACCTGTATGTCTTACCTGTTTGTTTTGCCTTTTTTACCTATAAATTACCTGAGTGGCTTACCTATAATTTACCTGTATGTCTTACCTGTAATTTTGCCTTTTTACCTATAAATTACTTGAGTGACTTACCTATAATTTACCTGTAATTTACCCGTTTGTTTTGTCTTTTTACCTATACTTGCCCGAGTGACTTACCTATAAATTACCTGACCGTCTTACCTGTAATTTACCTGACTGTCTTACCTATATGTATTACTTGTAATTTACCTGTTTATTTTGCCTTTTTTACCTATAATTACCTGAGTGGCTTACCTATAAATTACCTGACTGTCTTACCTGCAATTTACCTAGCTGTCTTACCTGTAATTTACATATTTGTTTTATCTTTTTACCTATAATTTACCTGTATGTCTTACCTGCAATTTACCTGTTTGTTTTGCCTTTTTTACCTATAAATTACCTGAGTGGCTTACCTATAATTTACTTGTATGTCTTACCTGTAATTTAACCTGTTTGTTTTGCCTTTTTACCTAAAATTTACTCATCTGTTTTACCTGTAATTTACCTGTCTGTTTTACCTTAAAGTTACCTGTCTGTTTTTGTGATTATCTCCACATTGAAGTGTAAATAACAACTGCCCACACGTAAGTAGAGACGATGTGGTATTGACTAATAGGTGAGAGTAAGTACACTGTACCAGCACATGTAGCAATATTAAAAAATATCAAAATTTAGACGTTTAATCCTTTTTTATACATTCATTTTGGTTGTTGTTTTTGTTTACTGTGTATTAAAAGTAAACAGTGGATGACTTGATTATTCTTTAATTTTTATTTATATCAAATTATATACATCAAAGTACCTTAATATCAGTAAAAAGAGTTGACAAGTGTAAATTAAACAAACAACACAAATAACAAACAACTTTTTCTGTTTTACAAGAATTATACAACAACAAATGTAACCAACCAACCAGTAGATACAAGTAGTGCCAAGAAAACAAGTGACCAACCAACCAGTAGATACAAGTAGTGCCAAGAAAACAAGTGACCAACCAACCAGTAGATACAAGTAGTGCCAAGAAAACATGTGACCAACCAACCAGTAGATACAAGTATTGCCAAGAAAACATGTGACCAACCAACCAGTAGATACAAGTAGTGCCAAGAAAACAAGTGACCAACCAACCAGTAGATACAAGTAGTGCCAAGAAAACAAGTGAACAAAGTATTACATTTAATATCCTATATATTCAGCAGTAAGTTAATACCTGGTAATAAGTCAGTGTTTGGTAATAAGTCTATGTCTGCTTTAAGGTCCATTTCTGGTTTTAAGTCCATGTCTGATAATAAGCCCATGTCTGGTAATAAGTTTGTGCCCAGTCTTAAGTCCATGCCTGGTAATAAAGTCCATGTTTGGGAATAAACATGTGTCTGATAATAAGCACATATCTTGGAATAAACCTGTGTCTGATAATAAGCCCATGTCTTGGAATAAACCTGTGTCTGATGATAAGCACATGTCTTGGAATAAACCTGTGTCTGATGATAAGCACATGTCTTGGAATAAACCTGTGTCTGATAATAAGCCCATGTCTTGGAATAAACCTATGCCTGATAATAAGCCCATGCCTGGGAATAAACCTGAGTTTGATATGAAATTCATAATTTGCAATACGCCCATAAGCATAGACTTTTTATTGTACTTCACAAGTTATAATAAACCACTGTTGTTTCTTTATTTAATAAGCCCGTGTGAAGTACTGACCCAAACCCTGCACTTATTGCAGGATGGATACAGAAAAAAAAATACACATGTAATTGGGGTTTTTTCACATTCACTCAAATACCTTCATTCTTTTACTAAAAGTATAATTATGAAATCATCGACTAAAACAATTTCTTGAAGTCTATGGAACATAGTTTATCATTCCAACATCGTAATTAAACATGAATAAGTAACAAGATGAATAAGCTTCTGAGTAGAATAATAAAATGTATAGAGACAGCAATATTTTCCACAATTTCACACTCTGAACTAAAACCATGAACTTATTTCATCAGCTATCACCAGGAGGAATGTACACATAAATGGGACTCCCTTGTGAAATTTATAAAATTGAAAAACATTCTATAACATGGCAGTTAAAATAAGAAGTTATAAGGATAGGTTTTAGAATCAGGAAGATTCTTTAATTTCTAATTTAGCAACAACCATCAGATGGTCAGAAGGAAAGAGTTCTTCATCCATTACTGAATATATCGTACCAAGACTCTGTCCGAAATTCCACCACCCAACGGTCATTAATGAAATAGCACTGATCAGTGACATAAAAAATAGAATATATGGTGGAAGTCGGAAAAGTGGCCACTTACTCAGACCACGAAATATTCGGAATTTCCGGCTATTAAAGTTGAGAGGTTTGAAGTTATCAGGACTACATAGACAACAGTTGCATCCTAAAATAGCAAAAACAGCTTCACCTTTAAAATCAGCTCCGCTTATGAGGAGACAAATGATAGCATAAAATAAATGAATAATAGTGAAAATAATGAAAATTACAAATATCACAGTAAAAATAAATATGTGACCAGAACATTCATCACAATCCGGTGACATACAAGTTGAACCTACAGGGTGGTCTCCCTTTACACACAATCCACATCGACAGTACCCACGGGGGCCACAATCCTGAAAACAGGAGTACCCAGTTACACCATACCAAGACAGATAGGAAGAATGAAGGAGAGTTCGGAACCTTTCGGTGATGATCCTCTGATAGTAATGAGTTTTGTATGCGGTACCGTTTCCAAGAAGGTAAACCCCATGTGGTTCAAAATTTGAGGTGGCTAAAATACGGTCTGGTCTACTTTCAAACCCAGGAGTTGGCTGTAAAATAAAAATATGAATCAAATTATCCTATTTAGAGGAAAAAAGCCATCTGAAAGTGCCCTCACATGTATGTATATGAGGTTTGTAGATAAATTTCAAATAATTATTTACAGAAAGCCATCGTCCTACTGTTACAAACCCTTGAGGACCTTCATTAAAAAGGAGACTTTTCTTTTAAACACATACAAATTAAAGTATATGACATTATTTTAAATATGATAAAGCATTCTTTAAAGAAATAACCCATATCTTTCATTATAAACATTATAAACATTATAAACATTATAAACTTTATAAACATTATAAACATTATAAACATTATAAACTTGTGAAATCAAGGCTTAAAGATGTTAAACTTACAGTAACACAAACACCACAGTTTATCTACAGCCTGTAAAGAATTAAACTATCTATACTTGTATCTAATATGGAAACAATTTTTGACATAAATTGAAAATTTTAAAAAATTTTCACTTTTGAAAAATGTGAAGATATATGAGTATTTCATCAGGCCATAGTTACGGTACTTAAACACACTTTAAGTCTTGTTTTAACAAGAAATCTTTTTTTTCGCTAAACAAGGAAATAAATAAATACTTTGGTAACTTCTTTAACTAATAATTAAATGGATACCATGTTACTGAAGGTTCTACCAGCACTGGGATGTCCCACCATTTCCCAAACATCCCTCCACGGTGACTTTCCCCTCAAACTCAGGAACTTCACATCCTGTATGCGACATTCATCAAGTGTCTTCTGATTGGGTGATGTAAACATCTTCACTGGCCAATCAAAGTCATTGTAGGTGTTGAAATCGCCCAGGACAACACTACGTAAATGTTCAGAGGAGCTTTCCTGATCTAAGTAGAAAGTATACAGATGACAATTACAATGTAATGCTGATTTCTATGAAACTTGTTATAACCTTAAACTCAAGTAGATGTGTTTATTAGATGTTGTAGATGTTAATAATTACAATATCATTTTTGCGATTTTTTTAAATTATAACATTGTAATTTACAGAATAAAAAGAAATGTTTACTCAGTATCTCAACTTTGACCTAACAGGAAGTGCAAATCAAAGATGTAATTCCTCACATCTGTGATAAACACCCAAACTTGAAATACATATCCCAAATAACTTATCTGCGTCACAACAAACTTGGCCCCAGGGACCAAGATCAACTTTTCATACAAAATTGAGTTCCCTTCCCCGAAAGAAGCCCTACACCCTGAGTAAAATTTTTTTACCTTTATTTGCCCTATCATACCATACCAAATTAAGACTCCTTCATGCAAGGATGCTTCAGATCAAAGTTGGGCAAAATCCTATCATTCATAGGATTTTGAAGAATTGACAAAATATCCCCAACTGGACCCTGCTCATCAGGTTTTGGAGGCCCAGATCCATCATTAATAATAAAATATTTTCCCACTTCCTCCGAAAGATTTTTCTGGTAATATCTTTTAAAATCTGAACACAGCACTATAGGATAAATTCACCATAAACCAGCCAACGTTTCTAAAGAAGACTTCTTTATACCTCTTATAAGTTCAATCACAGACTTGGTATTTCCACACTGTTGATGGCGGTCGTATGACAGGTGTAGAGCAGCAACTTGGACAGTAATCTGGGGACTGATGAAGATCTTAGCTAAGATGAGAACTCGTCTATTGGTGTCTGGTCCTGGCACATGTGGCAGCGTGTGTGTAGAGAACAACGTAATTGGCTTACGACTCAGAATCCCGATTCCTGGAGTAAAACAATCGTTAAATTTCAGATCTTTTAACAAGGTAGACCTTAACATGTTATATTATATACAAGAATATTAGAAAATAAACCATTTCAGAAAATTGATTGATTCTTTTTGGTTTTACGCTAAAGTCTTTATAAAAAATGGGGCAAAGCCACAACTGGCTGGGTTGCTGGATGAGTGCAATGCTATATGGTATTTATAAGACAGTTGAGGGTGTTTCATATATATGAACAGCATACAAAGTTTCAAGCTTCTACGTCAAAAACTCTAGGAGGAGTTGATTCTACAAAACTGGTACCCCTTTTCCCTGCCCGACATTCACCATACTTTAACCCGGATTTTCACTATGTGCAACCCAGCCAAAAATATTTAAAACATATTCAAGAACTGATATCAATCCCCTGAGTAGGAATGATACTAATCTTAAGTCAAACTAAAGGAAATATTTTCAATCTATTTAATCATCTTAAACTATTCAGTCAAACAAGACAAAACAATTAACATAAATGTAATTAACTTTATATTCTGTATCTACAGCAGATAAACCAAACTATCATTTTTTCCCTAAATGCATTAAATTTTTGTACAATAGTTTAATGAAATTTGGACCTTCTTTCTCCCAGCCAGGCCAGTTAGCTCCCTTGGGTTTCTGAACTTTGTTGGCTTCACGAAACAATCGCCATTTGTAGTCTGGGAGTAACTCCTGGAGTTCTATAACCTGGTTTCTGCCTCCATCGGTATGGAATCTTACTTCTTGGAAAGTCACTACATCTGGTTTTGCATCATTTATCTGTTTGACAAGAGATTAAATGTACATTATTAGTCAGATCATTCATCTGTCACCAGAAAATGGAAGAGAGAAAAATAAATAGTTAAGATGCACATATTAAGTGCAATTTTTAAGAAATTACTCACCCAAAAAATTGAAATCTATTTTCCAATCTTTGACAAAAACCAGACTGTATAGAGTGTTCACTGTATATTAGCAACAAAAATTATGTAAGTCAGAGCATCCAGTTTACATGTAGTGATGGTTCTGTTCATTAATTCAAAATAGTGTGGTGTCACTAATACATCAATTACCCTGTAATAATCTCTAAAACCTGATCTATAAAATTGGTATCAGTCATTAATACAAAATGAAGTGCTTACAAATCGCTTAACATCAGCACACTGTACAGGTCTTTTAATTAGTAATGTGACCATCATACTCTACATGGGTTCATTTTCAAAAGACTTTTTGGATGAATGTAAAATACTAGCCACAATCTACCGGTCAGCTAGAGAGAACTTCTCTTTAGCTCGATCGGTTGAGCATCAGACTATTAAGGTTCAAATCCTAGCAGAGGCATTAGAATAAATTCACCACTTTTATACTGACGTCCATGGAGGGACTCAGGAATAATATGTATTATTGTCTCACAGACATCACTATGACTCTTGGAAACTAGAGGACGAGTTATTTCCAGGAAGAAGAGTATGTAACCCCGGTAAAATACTAGCCGCAAAAATACCACTCTGCTAGAGAGAACTTTAGCTTGATCGGTTGAGCGTCAGACTAGTAAACCAAAGTGTTTAATAGTCAATATCAAGATTTCAAACTGTGATCATTCACAAATCTAACATTAAATCATCTATTTAAGAAATTTCTATAAGCTACTTAAAATGACCACAATGATATTCAGTCTAGACAGCCACAACATGACCATGAATGTGGGACAAGGTCATTCATTTCAACAAACTTTTAACAGCTCTTGACCCAATACGCTATTAACACAGCAGGAGCAGGTAAGTGGGGCTTGTACTCTGTGTAAGGATTGTCCACTCTCGCACACTAAAGATCCCTCTGTGGGTTTTCATAAAAATAGTAGGCATGATAACCCCAGGAGTTTAGGGATAGTGTAAGGCTACACAATAAATTTTATGGCATTTAACAGACTTCATAATTAGTCTGACATAAATAAAATCTAGGTGGATCCACAATTCTTCATTTCAGCTTCTGGACAAGTTTCAAATGCTAGAAGTAGGATAAGCCAATGTCAGGCCCTGAAGCCGTTTCTAAAACTAGTATTATCAAATGTTCACCGCTACAGACAGTTCCATCCCACTGAGGGGATGCAGGTCACCCCTCACGTCGTCAGAACACTAACGTGTACTGTACAGTACAGAAATCGTTCAGAATTATACAAGGAGACAAGCATATGCTTATTCCTACCATTTGTGCTATCCTGTATTTTCTGACGTTCCAGTTGAACATAACATTCCATAGATTACAAGTAGCGACTGTCATTTCATATGGCAAAACCACATCCACATATAAACAACCTATCATAAGAGCCAAACTCCAGTGAGATTTTCCCATCTTCACGTGTAATGCGTTCTTTTATGATGTTGAGGCGACTAATTTCACAAATTTATAAAGCCACTACACATATCATAACACCACACATAAGTTGATATACAAGGAAAAATAAAGTAATAACCTTATATTAAGATGTAATTTTAATTCCCACTTGCCATTTTCTTCTCAGGCAAGTGGAAAACTGATTTGAAGTAATCAGTCCCATTGCTAAAAGAAAGCGCCCCATTGAAGTCTGCCTCAGATAGATGTTTGTATCATACGTATATCTCCTATCCCAGATCAAAATAGAATTTTACGCTGATGATAACAAAACTACGTCGAAAGAAAGATGGATCTCAAAAGTTTAAAAGCAGAAATTGAGCGTAAAAAGCGACAACTGGAGAAGAACAATGATATAATGGTAAGTACCATTTTCTGTAGTTTCAAACTGTCGTCCTTATTTATGTTCAGCAGAAAGCTTTACGATAATAAACAAAATAAGTATCACTGATTCCCAGCTGTTAGTCTAGTCATGAGCCAGATGGGTCAGCCCGTTTCTTTCTGTCCGAGCACAGGACCACGTATAGTCTTATATTATAATATGAAAATGGCAAAGCCTGGCAGGATGACAACGTAATGATTAAGGAATCTTACTGAAACAATGCACAGCTATCTTTGATACAGGATAATGTACGTGGCTATACATTGATACATGTATATAATGTGAATGTGAATGTGAAATAAATAGCAGGAATCATGCCCAATTTATGAAATTCTTCAGTTGATTTTTGTATTAGTATATTGATTGGTTGATGTTTTAAATGTGTTTTTGTCTGATTTGTCGGTGTAGTACTAGTTCTGTTATAAAAGTTATTTATATAGTTGCTTTTCTCTAGATCTGGCACCAGAATATTTTCCTAATCAAAATAATGAATTTCAAATTAACTTGTTCTACAAGTTACATGTATACTAAATTTGACCATGAGACAATCTTAAGATGAATAAAGATATATATTCTTGTATCAATTTAAATCTAGTGTCACACAGTTGTCAACAGTTGTTAGATCTCTTGATGAAATTTTCAAGAGATGGTTGAGCAAAATTATCATTCCACGGGAGTACAGTTTCCAGTTTAAGGAACATGTGATAATCATAGATAACACCTATGGGAAGGGGAGGGGGTAACTCTTCAATATATTTATTATCTATATTTATTGCTAATTTTGTCATATATGAGTATACATGTCCCTATTGCTGTCTAAACAACAATCTGCCTTGACTATGATAATCAAACCAAAAGACCTTACATTTGCACATTATATTACAAATATATATATAGAAGATACATCTCTTATGTCAATACCAAGTCTGGCTCCTACACCAGACAGTAGATGTTATGACAGATATACCTCTACATACATGTAATGATCATGAGCACATTATAATTTCATCTAGTTGAGAGACCTAGGGTGAAAACTAGAAGTTGTTGAATTGTCTAGATGAAGAGAGTTCCAATCAGAGGTTGTTCTAGGGGAAGACAGTTTTTTTTTTCATTAGCTGAATACTTATAGAACTGAAAGAGTGTTCTGCGTTTGATATATGAATGCATACTTCAGTGTGCATGTCTGGTGTGATGGGATTAACAAAGGAGGTCTCTTCCTTATGAACATTTTGTTTTGTATAATTTTGTGTAGGGTTGATAGTTGCATATTTTTCCTCCTGTTTTCTAAAAATGTTGTGTAATTTTTCAGATTTTTATCCTGAAGAACTTTTATATAGAACTACTACATATGTGAACAACAGTAACAGGCCTTTAAGTATGCCATGTTGTGACATAATGCAAGATTGTGGCCAAAACCCTTGGTCTTCAAAGATGTTTACACAGTATGCAAATTTTATATTTAGAAATATCAGATCTTTTCATTTGTCACTGGACTGTCAATTCTTTTTCAGGCTCCAAACAAGAAGTATTTCAAACGTGGAGATTTGGCAGCAAAACAAGAAGATGAATATTGGAAAAGACATAAACAGCTTAGCAAAGATCAACAAACATCATCTCAGGTATAACATAAATCTAACTAGCTTAAATACAATCTACATATCATAGATAACACTTGATGTATACAGAGCCAGAAAAAAATTGAGAAGTAGGAAAAATTATCTTTATTATGTGTATTGTCCTTAAGGTGTCAGTTTATAAACATGATTTTTTATTTCTAGGTAGTAGTGAACAAGGAAGACAATAAAACAAAAGACAAAGAAGAAAAAGTACCACAACTTCCCAGGAAAGAAGTAAGAAATGGAGGACTTCGAAGAGTTTGAAAGCAGAACACTAGGATTTTCAGTGACAAAATGATCAATGACTTACAATGATTTCATGTGTACAAAAAAAAATTCCTCAAGTTTTTGCGATCTCTGATTTAGGAAATGTTAACCACCCTCAAGAATTTTATTTTTTGTAAATACTTGTCGTAAAATGTATGAATCAATTTTTCTTCACATGTAGGATAATTACTAGTGAAATAGATCTCTCTGATATTGAATGATAAATTGCGAATACATATTATTGTGAAGAAAGATCAATTTCATGTACATATAAAATTGATATGTTACCAATATTAAGATCGGAATTTCAGGTGTGGAATTGTTACCTTTTCCATCTGTAAATGTTTTCTTTTTCTAGTTATAGAATGTCTTTTTGTGAAATTGCTTTCACACATGAACCATCTTTTGTACTATTTGGAATATTTCTGGAATTCCATGTACTATCATCATTACAGTATAAGCCTTATAGTTGATTCTAGACTCTTGTTCCAGTGAAATGATACAAAGTTGAGATCAAAGATTTTTAGTGTGCAGATAATCCTTGTTCTTTCTAAACTGGTTAGATTGATGTATCACAAACAAATGATGTAGGTATTATTCCGTCTCTTTTGATTGACGTAGGTTATACGGCGTTTGAGAGAACGAAACGAGCCAATCAGACTGTTCGGTGAAAATGACTATGAAGCCTTCCAGAGACTTAAGAAGCTGGAGATGCTTGAACCAGACATTAAAAAGGTTTATTTTGTTGTCATTTAGACCGAATTCCATGTAGTGTGTGTCAACAATTTTAATTTAAAGTTAAACAAAAGTAAGAAACATCACAGGTAAATGATTATGCTACTTGAAGGAGAAAGAGAAGTCTTAAGCCACAAATTCACCTGGCAACTGCCTATTTTTTGTTCTCATAAAATAATTTATTTATGTTTCCATACAAGACATTACAAATATTTTTCTACATATCACTTTAAAAATTTGAAAGGGAAATAACTTGTACTTGATGATGGTGTAACTGAAATTTAATGGATAATAAATGTCTTAATTCATTTTTTAAAACCATTTAGGCTCTTCAGGACACACTTTATAAAAGTTCTTTAGTGTATCCAGTGTGAATGTTAAGAGAATTCTATTTTTTATCCAGTGTGAAGGTTATGAGAATTCTATTTTTTATCCAGTGTGAAGGTTATGAGAATTCTATTTTTTATCCAGTGTGAATGTTAAGAGAATTCTATTTTTTATCCAGTGTGAAGGTTATGAGAATTCTATTTTTTATCCAGTGTGAAGGTTATGAGAATTCTATTTTTTATCCAGGGTGAAGGTTATGAGAATTCTATTTTTTATCCAGTGTGAAGGTTATGAGAATTCTATTTTTCATCCAGGGTGAAGGTTATGAGAATTCTATTTTTTATCCAGTGTGAAGGTTATGAGAATTCTATTTTTTATCCAGGGTGAAGGTTATGAGAATGACTTCAAAGCTGCCATGGACAGAGTAGATCAGGAATTCATTAACGAGATCATCAACGCTGGTTCAGGGCAGTCGTCTAACAATGTAGCTGTGAGAGACGATGGAACAACGGAAGAGGACATTAAGGTGAAGGTCACAGCAAACTTTGTCATTTTAATATTTGGAGTTATTATAATATACTTGATACACACCAGTCTTCATAGCTTTAATGGCCTTTTAATTAGTTGTCAACCCTGAACCATTTACACTAAAGTTCAAAACATTTTTCATGGTTTAAACATCTCTAGCATCAGTATTGTTACCACATAAATAACCTGTTCTATCAGGAACCATGTACATGTGTAAAAACGATTGAAATCACAACTTTAATGCCAGTTTTATGTACGGAAAAACATGCATCTTCAAACTTGTAAATTGGTCTGTGTTAAAATGAAACTGACTGAAAGGTTTTCACTAATGGTGGTGTCTTGTCAGTATTGATTAAACGATAAATAGAATCTTACATTTGTGACCAGGATATAGCGAGATATTTTAGAGCTTGTTCAGGCAAGTTTTATCAAATTATTGTACAATTTTTTGATGAATTCAAAACAACAGGTACATTTATATAAGATTGTGGATTTTCAAGATATATATAAAAAGTAATTTCTTTTATAATTCTAGTCAACTTTTAAATCATATAAAAGAAATTGTTGACCAAATATACTTAAGTCATAGTTTCACCATTAAAATGTTTCTACTTTGGGAAATAATTCAGAAAAAGAAAACACAATTTGACTGGGGTTCTAAAATTGATTTTGATTTACTTAATATGAGTACCATCAAAGATATAATTTTGATATATTATTGGTGTGAGACAATCTGGAGAAGATGTTAGGAATTACATTTCAACATTAAGTCTGACTCGCTGATAGTTAAAAACATGACATTGTTTATACTAGTGTGTAGCAAATCATATCAGTCGTTTTTTGCTTTTTTAAATTTACAGAAAATGAGTGATGAAATAGGGAAAAATGGCAGTGATAGAGATCAAGAAATAATTTTACGGTTTTTAAAGGTAAGTACCCATACAAAGACAATGCTGCAGTATTTTGGCATTTAGTATCCTGAAATGAGGCTTTCGAAATTATTTTTTTAAGAATGCAATAGACTTTCTTTCAACATCCAGTTTTGTTACCAGAATATCATGTAGACTTTAAATGGTTCTGTGGATATTATAATATTCTTCTCATACACACATATCATTATGGTAGCATCGGCCTTTCACTGGCTGATCAGTCCTGTTGACAAGATTTCTACAAACAACATATGATTTAGAATATACATTTAAAGTGCTATATGAATTATATATGTCAGCATGTTATATTATTTTATTTTGCCAGGATTACTATCACTAAAGTAAATGTCAAGGCCTTTTTTATGCTCCCCAAAGGAAGAGCATTTAGTCACAGCTTTGTCCGTCTGTTTATCAGTCAGTCTGTCCATCCAGGATAATTTTGTCCAGAGCATATCACAAAAACTATAAGAGGTATCAACCTGTAACTTCTTAGGTAGATAGATCTTGATAAGGAGAAGTGAACTGTACTAGAACCACAACTCTTTTTGCTTAATTGAGGAGTTATTGCCCGTTGTTATTTTTCATCATTTATTCAGGGAGCATCTACTGCATTGTATTGTATTTGGTGCTGACTTATCTATGTAAAATAATGCATTGATTGTTTACCATATTTTTGCCACCAAAATATTTTGATAAAGTAATAATGAATATTAATAAATTCTACACATTGATCATTTTATGTTCTGAATGTTGTCAACTTTATATGGTTCATTTGGGGTGACTTGATGATATTAGTATGAATGATATCAAATACGAAGTTTAATTAATTTGCCAAATGTAGAAATTTGTTCACAACATCTCAGGTTATGTCGACCTGTTAATAGAACACCAGTTTCCTTCAGGATATTTTCCAGTTAATAGATCACCTGTTGCCTTCAGAATGTTTCCTGTTAATAGATCACCAGTTTCCTTCAGGATATTTTCTTGTTAATAGATCACCAGTTTCCTTCAGGATTTTTTCCAGTTAATAGATCACCAGTTTCCTTCAGGATATTTTCCAGTTAATAGATCACCAGTTTCCTTCAGGATTTTTTCCAGTTAATAGATCACCAGTTTCCTTCAGGATGTTTTCTTGTTAATAGATCACCAGTTTCCTTCAGGATGTTTTCCTGTTAATAGATCACCAGTTTCCTTCAGGATATTTTCCAGTTAATAGATCACCAGTTGCCTTCAAAATGATTCCCAGTTAATAGAACACCAGTTTCCTTCAGGATTTTTTCCAGTTAATAGATCACCAGTTTCCTTCAGGATATTTTCCAGTTAATAGAACACCAGTTTCCTTCAGGATATTTTCCTGTTAATAGAACACCAGTTTCCTTCAGGATTTTTTCCAGTTAATAGATCACCAGTTTCCTTCAGGATTTTTTCCAGTTAATAGATCACCAGTTTCCTTCAGGATTTTTTCCAGTTAATAGATCACCAGTTTCCTTCAGGATATTTTCCAGTTAATAGAACACCAGTTTCCTTCAGGATATTTTCCAGTTAATAGATCACCAGTTTCCTTCAGGATATTTTCCTGTTAATAGAACACCAGTTTCCTTCAGGATATTTTCCTGTTAATAGATCACCAGTTTCCTTCAGGATGTTTTCCTGTTAATAGAACACCAGTTTCCTTCAGGATGTTTTCCTGTTAATAGAACACCAGTTCCTTCAGAACTTTTTTCTGAGAACATCAGATTCTTCATCATGTGATGATTGGAACTCCATCTTACTACATTTCTCAAAGCCTGTAAAAACAATACATCTTCCCTTTCAAGTTTAAGGTAAAAATTACAAAAGACTCTTAAGTAATCTTTTAATACAAATTATTTTCGTGTTTTGAAACAGTGACTAGAATACAACATTTTTAGAAATGGATGTTCAGGTTTGTTCTGATGATAACTATATTAACATTTAGTCCTTCTCCTTCAGTTCATCCTTAAAAAATGGGGTGATGATCTAAATTGTCGAGATGAAGATAACAAAAGGTCAAGGACAGGAAAAGAAGCAAGTGCAATCCATGCACAAACAGTGTCCTACCTCAAGCCACTGTTTCGGAGTCTGAAACACAAGGTAACTACTGATTTGAGGCTCAGGATCAAACTTTGCAAGAGTTCAACATAATGATCAAAACTTAATAAGCAACCCAGGCTCTAGTGTTCAACTGTTGATAAATTTCTTTGAAACTATAACCGAGGTCATAGTGTTGAGCTATTTATTCTTCTTCAGAACTGTAAACCAGTTATTGGATACTTTTGTAAGAACTGTAACCAACGCTGTAGATTTTAGCTGTTGGTAATCTTTGTTAGAACTGTAAACCGGTTATTGAATGCTTTTGTAAGAACTGTAACCAACGCTGTAGATTTTAGCTGTTGGTAATCTTTGTTAGAACTGTAAACCGGTTATTGAATGCTTTTGTAAGAACTGTAACCAACGCTGTAGATTTTAGCTGTTGGTAATCTTTGTTAGAACTGTAAACCGGTTATTGAATGCTTTTGTAAGAACTGTAACCAACGCTGTAGATTTTAGCTGTTGGTAATCTTTGTCAGAAATGTAAACCAGGCCACAGTGTTAAGTTATTAAAATGTTGTTTTTTTTAACAGTTTTAATTACAGTAAAATCTTTTCTTATCTATCAAAATCATTTAAAGGTAAATGTTTTAAAACCTAGTTGCATTTTTTACATCAGTCTGTTGATGTGAAAGTCAAGGAAAACAATTGCAATATTTCAAATCTGAAGGATGTAATTATGTCCCCTGGCCATTTTAAAGGTCTGTGTGATTACTGGATATTTCAATAGATACTTGGTAAATTCCTGGTGTTTTATGTAATGCTAAGGTAAATTAAATAACAGTAGATCATTCCTAAAACATTGTCCCTTTTAATCCAGAATTTACCTACTGAATTGTTTGGGTAAGATTATGGGAAAGTGAAAATGGTCGTGAGGTGACAGTGAATTGTAACAATGAAGTTGTTTTGAAAAACTTGACATCATCATTAAATTCTGTATTAATTATGGATTTTCAATTATGAGGTACCAGTAAATGAAATTTTGTGTGATTTTTTTTGCAGACAATTGATGTAGATATTTTAGAATGCTTGGTGGACATCTTGAAATTTTTAATGGACAGAGATTACATTAAGGTAACATGTATTATAGTCTGTATTTCACTTTTATGATTATTACATTACAGAGTGATAATTATATAACCTTTACATGACCTTTATGATTATTACATTACAGAATGATAATTATATAACCTTTACATGACCTTTATGATTATTACATTACAGAATGATATTTAAATGACCTTTATGATTATTAAATTACTAAACAATATTTACATGACCTTTATATGATCTTTATGATAATTACATTACTTTATGGCTATCAGACAGAATTGTACTTGTCACTAACATTTACTTAACAATGTTTTTTACTTACCATAAAATAGTTCAGCGTTTATTGTGTATATATTTATACAGTCATATATACTTATTTATAATTAGGAGCTTAAGAGCTGAAAAATATTGTTAATAAGCCCACCCGAAGAAAAATGTTTCATTTTGTCATACCGTTAATTTCATCACATTATGGCTTTCTACCATTTATAAATATTGACTGAAGTAAGTGTGACTAAGTATGACTAAAAAGTTAAATGCCCTGGACTTCTTTTTCGTAATAATTGGAATATAATGTGAATGATTTCAAATTAATTAAAACACCTTGATCTCTGTAAGAAAACTGAAATGTTGTGAATTTTTTTCAAAAAATTACTTTTTCAAAGGCACTTAATTTTAAAACTTTAAAAAATCTTCTATTTTTATTTTAGCAGTTCATGGATATATGAAATTCATGGATTGAAATTACACATGATATCAACTAAAATTAAATCTGATGCAAAAATGAATGATTTCACAGTAATAGGAAATTTCAAATTTTTCTTCTTAATTTTAACAAATTTATTTTTTGCTTTATGTTCTGTTGATTGAATGAATTCTTATCCCCATTATCAGAATTTAATTTTTATGAAATAAAAAATATTTTCTAAATGTACTTAATATATATACATAATACTGATATATTTTCAGGCGAATGATGCCTACCTGGAAATGGCAATTGGCAATGCGCCTTGGCCCATTGGAGTAACTATGGTGGGTATCCACGCACGTACTGGTAGAGAGAAAATCTCATCCAGGAATGTCGCCCATGTACTTAACGATGAAACTCAGAGAAAGTACATACAGGTAAATATTTCTTAACAATAGAACACAAATTCCTCAGGATGAAACAGATGAAAATTTTGTCAGTAATCTGCTGTGTAATTTCAGAATTTTAAAATCTTTTATCGACAAAAAAATCCTGGTGATAAGTCAACAAATATTAATTGTTGTTTATTAAAATTATAAACTTATCATATTTGATTGACCATTGGGGTCCAGTAATAAGCCCATCCCTTTACAATAAATGAGGAGTAATGTGTAGACCCATGGGGTCCTGTAATAAGCCCACCCCTTGACTTTAAATGAGAAGTAATGTGTTGACTCCTGGGGTCCTGTAATAAGCAACCCTCTGACAGAGTAAGAAGTAATGTGTTGGCCCCCTGAGGTTCTGTAATAAGCCCACCTGTTGACTTTGAGTGAGAAGTAATGTGTCAAACCCAGGGTTCCTCTGGTAAGCCCACCCTCTGACCGAGTAAGAAGTATTGTGTTGATCCCAGGCCTCCATACTGAGTATGTACTGGAAGTCCCATTTGTTTGATGTTTTTGCTTTGATAGGTATGTAAATATTCTTATGTTGTGTTTTCTCACAAATGTTTTACAATCTTTTTTTTTTCTCTTTTTTTTAACAGGCACTTAAAAGGTTAATGACACAGTGCCAGAGAATATTCCCCACAGATCCATCACGGAGTGTTGATTACAAAAAAGATCTGACAGTATGACAAAATATTGCCCACAGATCCATCTGGGAATGTGTATTACAAAATAGATGTCAATATGACAGAATATTCTCTACAGATCATTTTTGAGATGTATATTTTAAAAAAGGTCTGACAGTATGACATAGAACATACACTGATGTATGGATTTATGTTAAACATTTGACGATAGTTTAGAAGTCTGTCAAACAAAAGCTTTGAAAATAACCATTGCCTGGTGTCTGTTATACATAGTTACCAAGCAGAATAAGGATATTTCAGGTCGAACTTTACAAAATAGCAACTACAAAATACTATTTGGCATTTTTATTATGTATGTGTGTGAACGGCCATATTTCAAAGAATACTCACAATGAACCAAGAAATTTCAGTTGAAATAATTTATTATATGACGGACTTCAAACCAGGAATGGATAACTGGTGATTATATACACACAACAAAACTGTAATAGTCAAGAGCAGGACAGTGATGACTATAGTGGTCAGATAACTAAGTCATGTGATCATCATGTGACAAAGAAATAAAATAATGGTGTATATTTCATATTGTCAATTATGAGGTTAACTTGCTGTCATTTTTGATGTGCATGTCAGTGAAACAGACATCCATGGGGAAAAAAATCTGTTTCTTTTTATGTCAAGTTAATTCAGATCAATAACTGATGTTACATTTTTATTGGTTTTGTTGTAACTCATGAGCATAACTCTTGATTTAAAAATCCTGTTGATTCTACCAGAACTAATTAAAATGTACATCAGAAGTGTCAAACGTCTTGCTTCAAATGAATTTTGTGAGATTTTAATTTGCCAATTAAGCTATTTCCTCAATCTTTGTATAACTATATTGAAATATTTTCTGACGAATTTCTGGGTAATATCAAAAATCAAAATTGATATTTTTATATTCCTTCAACAAAGTTTGGAGGAAGGGAGGGAGGGAGGGAGGGATAGGGTATAATAGAATCACCCTGTCTGACCGTCTGTCTGTCCGTAATATTGTGTCTAAAATAGTGCTGAAGCAATATTTCTCAAAGTTGGCATACTATATCCTTATCAAATTATGCCCTTTAGCTTTTCGTAAGATTTTGACAACATTTGGTAGAGTTATGCCCCTTTTTGCAGATATTCTGTCCGGAATATTGTGTCAAGTAGATCTAATAAAGTACAGAAGCAATATTTCTCAATCTTTGCATACTATATCCTTATGATAAATGGTTGTGCTCTTTGGCCTTTCATGAGATTTTGACAACATTTGATAGAGTTGTGCCCCTTTTTGTAGATTGTATATTATAAAGAGTAGAAGCAATATTTCTCAAACTTGGCATACTGCATACCTATGATATGTAGTTGTGCCTTTTCACTTTTCATTTCAACTAGATCAAATGCTAAAGCTAATTATAGCTTATAATTTGACATATTAGGTGTTCCTAAACCGTTACATGGAAACACTTTGAAGAATTCTCATTGGTGGAAATCAAGGTTTAGGGGGATGACAAATACAATAATACCGTATTTAGTTTGATATAGGGAAAAGTTTAGATATACTGTCCATAGAACAATTTCAATTCAAACACAAGCCAATACATTAAAGATTTATGTAGGTGTTGATGCATGTTAATAAAAAAAATTCTCTAATGACTGATTTCTAGAATGAAATCAGTCTTCCATGGTAATTAAAAATAAAATATATTTAGGTTTACTGATATAATTTTATTGACTGGAGCAGCCGATTGGATCAAGATAACTCATAGACAGAAATCACTCATAGGTTATGACACCATCGTGTAGAGATTTAACCAAAGTGAATTTTTTACTACACAGGAATTTGATAGTCATAATTTCATATCCAGTTCTTGTTTGGTAAAAGTTAGCTGAAGTCTTATGTAAGAAAATAGTTGTGCTATTTTATATTAAATCCCTATTCCTGTCATCACACTAAAACAGCCATGCGTGATAGAACACTGGTTCAGAGGTACAAACAAGAATGAAATGATGACTTTAGGGGTACAACTTAACAAAGTAAAAAATTAAGATTTAACATTATAAGATACCGTTGTAAACCAGGATACCGAGCGAATTGAAACCACTCTACTATCTTACTTATATTATTTTCAAGAAATTGATTTTCACATTTTCTAACCTGATGAAAGGCAAAGTAATATCAGACGGTTCCAACATTTTTCATGATTTGAGCACAGAGCAGGTCATTATATATTCTGGCCCCCATCGCCTGTCAAGTTTGTCACCATGCTGAAAACATGAAAAGAAGGGAAGTAACTCTCGGAGATGAGAATTGTCATGCTGCGACCACAGTAGCAGACTGACCAAACTAAATCAAGAGAAATGGTATTTGTATTGTGTCGACATATAAATATGTCTTCCCTATATAGTACCGGTGTGTATAACAATGAAATTATTTAACAGGATATTGTTATAACCTTTTGGTTTTAAAATATGTGAAAACATTTACCTCTACCTTGATCCAAGGTCACAGGGTCAGTTAAAAACTCATGAAATGTCTAGAATTATGGTATTTGGCAAGGAGATTCCGTGGATTAAGCCCCGATAAAGTTTGGGGTGGGGGGAGCCGGGGATGCACGACATAGATCCCAGTCCGTGGTCATAGGATTTATTTTATTTATTTATTTTTTTTTTTTTGAAACTCTCATACAACTCAATTACTAAGAGGCCCCGAATCAGAATATTGGGGTTGATGTTCCTCCAAATGACTTCTCAAAAGCCAAAAGGCTCAGAAGTTTTATATCTGGCTGGAAGGGTGCTGAAATAAAGCCCATTGGAGTTTGTGGAAAGAAATAGCCTTGAAACATATTCAATGAAGACTTTGATTGATTTGGAACATTAACGTATTTGTGAAAAGCACTGAATACCAGGTAAATGATGCAAATCCATTGGGCCTTACGTTTTCTTGTTGGGAACGCAGTAGATGTTTCCGTAATACTGTTACGGAGTGCCGAGACTGGATCGTATGCCGTAAGCTTTTCTTCACTCCGCCGTTCAACAAGCGATCGCGCGAGTGACAGTCTAGCGAAGTTGAACTGTACTGAGGCTGGTAATCCAGTTTACAATCACTAATAGTCATGAGGTACCGTCAAATTCTGACGGAATTTCTATTATATATTCCCGATCGATGTTTACAGAATTTTACAAGTTGTCACTGATCGTTAGAGAGAACCCGAGTCTGTTCTCACAATAACTAAGTTCCACAAACGAAGAAGAACCAAACACAGCAACTTGAGGTACGTTTGTCTTTCTTTCACGTTTACGTTTCTGGATTATGTATCCGAAACCGTTCAGGATAACTTCCAAGTTTTTTAAACACATCAATCAAGTGACCTAGTAATGTCTTCTGTTAAGTGGTATAGCTTCCAGTGTGGTGCTTCTTCGGTTATTTCCATGGAAACAGGTTGTGCAATTCTCAAATTCCAGCGTTTCCAGAATATATCTATTAAAACCCTTTAATATATCTTTGGCTTTCATCATCACTTCCATTACATCCTTAACATTGACCACTACATGTACCTCTAAAACATGAAGCTATCACTCCCATGACTGGACTTCCTTGCCGGGGATTTGAAGTGCTGTGTCCCTATTCTAGTAAAACGGTAGAGAAGGGTTGTCTCAGACATTCATTACTTGACTTTCTGTGAAGGGAAAATGTCCCACAGGTTTGGCTAGAACACTGCATTCTACTCAAATGATTTGCGACGTGCGCATGCGTATATTTTGCAACTTAGGTATGACAGGGACAAGGACGGTTTATTCCTGGCTGGACCAAAACTGAATGATAATATTTCTTAACTGTCCCAAAAGTATGTTTGTTGTTAAAGTGGCTAGTGTCCCAACGTGTTGTTTCAGCAGGTCACTTGTCCCCAAAAATACATGTAAATAGGATGTGACATGTGATAGTATATAGATAAATGTAATTGAGAGATGAACAAAATGTATAAATATATTTTTCTCTAAATATTTTGAAAAAAAATCAAAGTTAATTGGAGATTTGTAAATGTGTTTCTAATTTTAAAATTATAATTAATGTAAACTCATAATTTAGAAATATATCTTTTATTCATGGTTTTATTATAAGTTTTAAACTATCACTTACAATTATTTTTCTTCAATGAGTAAATAAGAAATTCTCATTAATGGATGTCAATATCAACAATTCACACCAAAAAGATGGTGAGGTGAACACCCAAGCTTGGAGTGAGAGTTTGTGAGTAATCCAGCTGCTGATGAATGGAGTACATTGAGGTGAACACCCGAGGTTGGAGTGAGAGCTTGTGAGTAATCCAGCTGCTGATGAATGGAGTACATTGAGGTGAACACCCGAGGTTGGAGTGAGAACTTGTGTGTAATCCAGCTGCTGATGAATGGAGTACATTGAGGTGAGCACCCGAGGTTGGAGTGAGAGTTTGTGAGTAATCCAGCTGCTGATGAATGGAGTACATTGAGGTGAACACCCGAGGTTGGAGTGAGAACTTGTGAGTAATCCAGCTGCTGATGAATGGAGTACATTGAGGTGAACACCCGAGGTTGGAGTGAGAACTTGTGAGTAATCCAGCTGCTGATGAATGGAGTACATTGAGGTGAACACCCGAGGTTGGAGTGAGAGTTTGTGAGTAATCCAGCTGCTGATGAATGGAGTACATTGAGGTGAACACCCGAGGTTGGAGTGAGAACTTGTGAGTAATCCAGCTGCTGATGAGTGGAGTACATTGAGGTGAACACCCGAGGTTGGAGTGAGAGCTTGTGAGTAATCCAGCTGCTGATGAGTGGAGTACATTCAGGTGAACACCCGAGCTTTGAGTGAGAGCTTGTGAGTAATCCAGCTTCTGATGAGTGGAGTACATTGAGGTGAACACCCGAGGTTGGAGTGAGAGCTTGTAATCCAGCTGCTGATGAGTGGAGTAAATTGAGGTGAACACCCAAGCTTGGAGTGAGACCTTGTGAGTAATCCAGCTGCTGATGAATGGAGTACATTGAAGTGAACACCCAAGCTTGGAGTGAGAGTTTGTGAGTAATCCAGCTGCTGATGAGTGGAGTACATTGAGGTGAACACCCAAGCTTGGAGTGAGAGTTTGTGAGTAATCCAGCTGCTGATGAGTGGAGTAAATTGAGGTGAACACCCAAGCTTGGAGTGAGACCTTGTGAGTAATCCAGCTGCTGATGAATGGAGTACATTGAAGTGAACACCCAAGCTTGGAGTGAGAGTTTGTGAGTAATCCAGCTGTTGATGAATGGAGTACATTGAGGTGAACACCCAAGCTTGGAGTGAGAGTTTGTGAGTAATCCAGCTGCTGATGAGTGGAGTACATTGAGGTGAACAACCAAGCTTGGAGTGAGAGTTTGTGAGTAATCCAGCTGCTGATGAGTGGAGTACATTGAGGTGAACACCCAAGCTTGGAGTGAGAGTTTGTGAGTAATCCAGCTGCTGATGAGTGGAGTACATTGAGGTGAACACCCAAGCTTGGAGTGAGAGCTTGTGAGTAATCAAACTGCTGATGAGTGGAGTACATTGATATGAACACCCGAGGTTGGAGTGAGAGCTTGTGAGTAATCCAGCTGCTGATGAGTGGAGTACATTGAGGTGAACACCCGAGGTTGGAGTGAGAGCTTGTGAGTAATCCAGCTGCTGATGAGTGGAGTACATTGATGTGAACACCCGAGGTTGGAGTGAGAGCTTGTGAGTAATCCAGCTGCTGATGAGTGGAGTACATTGAGGTGAACACCCGAGGTTGGAGTGAGAGC